ACTAACAAAGTTTAGACACATAAATTTTGAAGGTCTAGCCTCTGTGCTTCGTGGATAATTGGAACAGTACCATTGCTGGATAATTGGAAAGTCCCGGTGTGTCAACCTCTGTGCTTCGTGGCAAGGTAGACTAGCAAACATGCCCAACCTTTACTCACATTCGAGAAAACACTCCTAACAAGATTGCTTGCTCCAAAATCGAAGAGGCACCGCCCTCCGAATCTCTAGAGCCAGACTCCCAACATGATTACTTTCTCAAAAATCGAAGAGAGGGTAAAGGAACAGTACCACTGCTGGATAATTGGAAAGTCCCTGTGTGTCAACCTTTGTGCTTCGTGGCAAGGTAGACTAGCAAACATGCCCAACCTTTACTCACATTCGAGAAAACACTCCCAACAAGATTGCTTGCTCCAAAATCGAAGAGGCACCGCCCTCCGAATCTCGAGAGCCAGACTCCCAACATGATTACTTTCTCAAAATCGAAGAGAGGGTAAAGGAACAGTACCACTGCTGGATAATTGGAAAGTCCCTGTGTGTCAACCTCTGTGCTTCGTGGCAAGGTAGATTAGCAAACATGCCCAACCTTTACTCACATTCGAGAAAACACTCCCAACAAGATTGCTTGCTCCAAAATCGAAGAGGCACGGCCCTTTGAATCTCGAGAGCCAGACTCCCAACATGATTACTTTCTCAAAAATCGAAGAGACACTGCTCTCCGAATCTCGAGAGCCAGACCCCCAGCAGGATTGCTTTCTCAAAAATCGAAGAGGCATCGTTCTCCGAATCTCGAGAGCCAGACCCCCGACAGGTCTGTAATCTTCACACGCAACATCAGCTTTCCAGATACCACAAACCACTTTTTCAAAGTGCTCTGACAGAGTTAAAACATGTGAAGCTGGCAGCTCCCACTACCGTGCTATAACCAAGCGGGGTAAAGGAATAGCATTATTACTTGATGTTAGGGAGACTCCTATATATGTCGACTTCCATCCTTAACGGACAGGCAGACCTGCAAAAATGCTCAACCCTTTCTCTTATCTGAGAGGGCACTCCCAACAAAGCCTTTCGAAATATTCAGCTTTCTTTCCCCCCGATAATACCTCTGTAAACAAGCTATACTAGAGCAAGAATATCTCATATCATCAGGGTTAAAAGCAAGAGTATCCCATATCATGCTTTTTCCTTGTCTTTTCCTTTGGCCTTGTCCTTACCTGCAAGACAAGGAGAAAGAGAGCAATCAGTCAGCACTTGGAATCAAGCTTCCAGCCAGGAACTGACTGCCTGGAACCCCTTACCTGATTACTTACCTGGCATTGCTCTCGAGTACTCATCTTCAACATCTTATGCTTCCAGGGAAGATACCGCATCTGCCTGAGGAACAGATAGGGCAAGTGAGAAGGATACAAGGAAGCATGTGGAGACAAGCGTAACAGCACACGTGCCGATACATCCACTACTCTATCAAAAGCAAAAGTATCCCATATCAGCAGGGTCGAACGTACTCTAGATTTGATGGACTTGTTTTGACCCTCAAATTCTTTAGTCGGCCTTATACTCTGAAGGATACCAAAAAACCCTCCAGCCCAGTTCAAGAATAAGCCTGTGGAAAGTTACTTCTTCAAAAGCAAAAGTATCCTATATCATCTCTCCTCATTTTTCTTCTCTTTATCATTCATGCTACCTACAAGATAGGGAGAATGTGAACAATCAGCCGGAGCTCTGATTGCTTACCTTGTCTGTCATCTCTTTCAGCAGATCCCCCAGCTCGGCGACTTGGGGGACTCCTACTACATGGTTTGTATCTCGCTTGACCAAGCATGAAACTACAAGTAAGCTTAAAGTGAAATTGATACATTACCTTGTGCATCTCCACCAGTTACAGATACCACCCCTGGATGGAGGAAGAGTACTTCCAGAGAAGATGCCACATCTACCTATGAGACAGATAAGGCAAGTCAATACGATACCACACTCCGGTACTTAGAAGTTTCGTGGCTACGAGATCATTCTCCCACAATATTTCCTAATGTCATTTGTACTAAATCATTCACTTGTACTCACTAAAGGAGAGCTTGAACCTATGTACTTGTGTAAACCCTTCACAATTAATGAGAACTCCTCTATTCCGTGGACGTAGCCAATCTGGGTGAACCACGTACATCTTGTGTTTGCTTTCCTATCTCTATCCATTTATATACTTATCCACTCTAATGACCGGAGCAATCTAGCGAAGATTAAAAAAAGTGACCGTTTTCGCTACCTAGGATCTATCTTGCAAGAGAATGGAGAATTAGATGGAGATCTCAACCATAGAATACAAGTTGGATGGATGAAGTGTAAGAGTGCATCCGGCGTGTTGTATGACCGTCGTAGGCCACTGAAGCTCTAGGGAAAATTTTATAGGAGGGCAATAAGGCCAACGATGTTGTATGGCACAGAATGTTGGGCGGTGAAGCATCAACGTACACAAAATGGGTGTAGCGGAGATGAGGATGCTTCGTGGGATGTATGGGCACACGAGAAAGGATAAGATTGAGAATTAGGATATCCGAGGTAAAGTAGGAGTAGCCAAAATTGAAGGAAATATGAGAGAAAATCGGTTCCGGTGGTTTGGACATGTGCAAAGAAGACCTACTGACGCTCCGGTTCGAAAATGTGACTACGGGACAGAGGTTCGGGGCCGAAGGAGTAGAGGAAGACCTAGGAAAATTTTGGAAGAGACCCTAAAAAAAGACTTGAGTACTTGGATCTAACGGAGGACATGACACAAATGAGCGCAATGGTGTTCTAGGATTCATATAGCCGACCCCACTTAGTGGGAAAAGGCTTTGTTGTTGTTGTTGTTGTTGTATAGTTACCCCATTGATTATCTCTTAACAGATATGTATGCTTCCAGAGAAATCTTTATTTATCCTAATTTTATGTTGGATGCAGATGCCTGGTTATCAGTTTAATGGTCTTTTAAATTTGTTGTTTATCTTTTGAAGGGTTATCAATGTTGATATCCATTATTGTAGGCCTGGACAAAGCACAAGGACAATTTAATATTGATGGAAAGATATCATTTCTTCAGTTCAAGCTGTAAACAATTTGGGTTTCGCTGTAAATCCCTTTCTGAGTTGAGAAGTGACGAAAGTGAACCTGAAGGAGCTCTTGCAACTGTTCTTGAAGTTCTTAAGCGAGTCCACAACATGTTCTTTCATGTAAGTACTACTTTATGTCTATATGATGGCAAAAAGTTACATTTTCTTTGTTTGCTAATCTATTGTTGGTGGCCATCTTGTAGGAATTGGAGGATAATCTTGTTGAAAGAGATGTGAGACAGGTGAATAAGTTTTTTCAGAACCACTAAAACATGACTATTTCCTTTAGCTTCATATATTTAATATGGATTCTTCTGGATGCTATTTTTGTAGGTGTTGAAAACTGTTAAGAAGGATGTGTTAAAGGGGTGTAAAATTGTTTTCAGCCACGAATTTCCTTCGAATGTCGATGCTGAGAATCAACCTCTCTGGAAGATGGCAGAGCAGTTAGGAGCCTCTTGTTCGACACAAGTGGACCCATCGGTGACACATGTGGTTTCAGGAGATGCTGGCACAGAGAAGTCTAAATGGGCGGTCAAAGAAAAGAAGTTTTTAGTTAATAAACAGTGGATTGAAGCTGCAAACTATATGTGGCAAAAGCAAGCTGAAGAGAAGTTCCCAGTCAAGCAAATGAAAGCCACATGATCTGTTCTTGCAGCAGCACTAACTTCATCCTTTTTGTGCATAGTTTGAGATACTAATCACTCCTCTCGTTTCGTACAGTGCTGTCCTTATACCACTGGTCTCGTATTTGAGGTGGAACTTAATTTTGAATCGTTCATTACTTTTAAACAGAAGACGATTGCTGACTAGGTGAAGGAAAATTTGATAGCGGATTGAATTTTTGATGTTTGTCTCGGAAGTAGGATACCGAACTTGTATGTAGGATATGATGTAGGATATGGTTGCAGATTTATGACAAAGGAGTAGATGTTTTGGAGGCATCAAGTGTCAAATTTGCTTGATGATTGCAGCTCTTTTAATTGCTTTATTTATTTCTCTTTGCGGAATTATGTTTTGACGACCTACTCAGCGGGCTTCTGAATGGATATATGATATTTTTTTTATGTTACATGATATGATGTTCTTTATGTTCAAAATGTATGGATATAATCATGAAACCAAAGTTAAAAAGACTTACTTCCACATGCTGATAACACTTGCAGAAGAACTTCAAATGCATGCGTTTTAACTTTGGAGTACTTATACAGGCTGATATAGTTGGCAGAAGAACTTCAAATGCACGCGTTTAACTTTGGAGTACTTCTGCATGTTGATATAGTTTGCAGAACTTCAAATGCACACGTTTAACTTTGGAGTACTTATGTAGGCTCATATAGTTGGCAGAAAAACTTCAAATGCACACGTTTAACTCTGGAGTACTTCTGCATGCTAATATAGTTTGCAGAACTTCAAATGCACACGTTTAACTTTGGAGTACTTATGCAGGCTGATATAGTTTGCAGAAGAACTTCAAATGCAGGCACGCTACAATAGCAATGTACTCGTGTTATAGAAGTTCTCAACTTGAAGGCCCCTTAGACGCTTCACTTGAAATTACATCTTCTCTTAATCAATAGAAGTGCTTTTGGTACAAGTGTGTCAATTAAAATCCAAATGCTTGTTTCGAGAAGCACTCAACCTGTGCTTCTTTAAGAAAACACTCAAATCTCCTACTTTGGAGGAAAAAATTAATATTCGTAATCTGCACACACAATATTTCTTCGCTAAATATTGTAAGAAGCACTTTTAATTTTTTGAAGGGCTTTTAACCATTCGGAAAGCACTTAAGCAGAATACTATTGAGACGGACCAAAAAAGAAAAAACACCTTCCAAATGTTTTTAGTTTGTAAAAGCCCAAATGCTCGACCCAAAATGGGCCCAAACCCGTTTACACAAAACAGAAAGCGCGAGCCTTACGGCGGCAAACAGCAAAAGGCCAGTGTTTGGAAACGAAGGGAAACCCTACAGAGTACAGAGCATTGTCAGTGTCAGTATGCGTTGACTGGCGTGGACTAAAGCGCAGTGACTACAGTCGTCAGAGCCAAGCGGAAAGGACGAAGGGAAGAAGCCGAGGAGTGCTCGGAAACGAAGGATTCCCAGTCGCTCGTGTCGCGGAGAGGAATTTGAGTGGGCCCTCCTGGTCTCGACGCTGTCGACGCTATCGGAAAATCAAGGTAACAGTTTCAGTGATCATCGTTCCAGTTTGTTTTGCTCAAGATTAAAGGAAAGTAGAGATGGAGGAAGAGGAGGAGGACAAGTAAATTATTCATAAATTAGTTAATTAATGGCAAATTCCTGCAAATTGTCGGATAATATGGTGGCCCAAATCCTGTCAAGTTTGCCACCTAAATCCCCTGATGCGGTTCAAATGCGTCCACGAGTCCTGGCGTGATCTGATTGATAGTCGCTTTGTGGCCAGCCACCTCTCGAATTCGAATAATTCGAGTTCCTCCGCCCGCATTGCCGTCAGGCATATTGTTGGTGGCGAGGAGGTTGATAAGGAGGACGTTTTGGGTGTCATTTCTTTAGTGGTACAGTACACTTTCATATTGTTTCATTTATTTCATGATCACAACCCAAATTTAGAGCGAGCGAGCGTTTCTTGTTCATTCAGTGGGGAAGAGGTAGAGGAAGAGTTAGACCAATGGGCAGAGGAAATGGGAGGGTCACAGGCAAAGGCGATGAAACTCAATTTGCATCCTCTTCTCGAGCAGTAACTGAGAAAATCGTACATGCATAATTTACTTTGTTAACTTAAGGCTTAGTTTGATATTGTTGTTAGGGTTGAGGTGTGGGGAGGAAGAGGAAGAGGTAGTCAGGCCATGCCATGATCAAGGCGAATGGAGTTCACTCAGCGATCTGCTGCATTGCCTTCGTCTTCGCAAACTGTGACAAGAGGAAGAGGTCAAGGCAGGGCCAGTGGAGCAATGGCAACTTCACAAGATTTGCCCTTCCGACCATCCACTTCGGTCATTGCCAAGCCCGGGGGAAGATCCAAACACTAAGCCATGAAGTATATAATCTGCTGTCGGAGTTGTGCAACCGAAAGCAACCTGAAGAGAAAGTTCCATGTAAGCACTAACCATATCCTTGTTGTGCATAGTTTGAATAGTTTACTCTTCTTGTCTAGTTTAGACCCGTTCATCTCGAGCTTACTTAATCAGCAATCCTTGAGAGTAAACTGAGCCGCCATTTAATAGGGCATCATTGTCTCATAAATAAAAGTATTGATTGTTGTCTTCGATGTGAACTAACTTTTTCATTAGGCTAAATAGCAATATGATTTCTGACTAGGTGGGGCAAATTTGATAGGTGATCATATGAATTTTTTATGTCGTCCCAAAATTAGGATGCCGATGAGTGGCTACTTTGAGCTTGTATATAGAATAAAGGTCGTACCCAGTGCACAAGGCTCCCGCTTTACGCAAGATCTGGGAGAGGTGAATGTCGGCTAGCCTTACCCCCATTTATGAAGAGGCTGCTTCCAAGTCTCGAACCCGAGACCTACCGCTCATGGGCGAAGGCACTTGCCATCGCACCAAGTGCGACCTCTGAGCTTGTATATAGAATACGGTGTCAAATTTGCTCAACAACGCAAATTCTTGATCTCTTTCCATTACAGATTGCTGCTTCTGAATGAATAGAGAGCTTCACCAATTATAAAGTCAAGAGCCCCAATTCCGATCACTATCATGCCTTGCAAGGCCTTAACAACAACATTCAGCATGTAATTTTAATGAATTATGTTTTGAAACCTCACTCAATGGGGTTTTGAATGGTAAGTTTATTGCTTTAATTATTGGTAAGAAATAATTAAATGCATTAGACTAATTGTGTTTTGTCTTTTAAACATGTGGCACAATCTAGAGGGGCGTAAGCTATACAAGGGTTATGGGGTGAGTAAAAACTAACTCTTAACTGACTGGCTTAAATCCTGTAAACTAGTACATCTATGGTCCGTTTGGAAATGCTTCTCTAGAAAGCAATTTTACTGGAAGCTTTTTAAGTAGATCCACGTAGAACTGCAGAACACTAACCTTATAATTATGCTGAACACCGGGCAAGCCAAATTTAATTAGAGTGTTGCTTTATTATCTTCTCTACGTTTCCTTTAGTTGGATGTAGTGCTTCAAAAATATATTTTCAAGAGATATTCTCTCATTGCAGATTTTGATCACCATGTTTTCTTCTATTTACTTTCCATTGTTTCAATTAATCACAATTGACACTAACCTAGAGCTTCACTAGAGTTCAGTTTCTCTATACATATAAGAAGAGTAATTTGCCGATTCCCCCCCTTAACCTGTACCCCATTGCCGATATTACCCATAAAGTTTTGGTTTGGCCAATTTTTTCCCTAAAATACTATGAATAGATAATTTCTCCCTAGCTTCAAATTTACCCAAATTCCATCCCAAAAAGTCACATGTTGGTCGTTGAATGTCCTTTTGTGTTTGTTATATTTCCTTTCTTAATCTTATTATTGTCTTCTTTTTTTTTTTTTTTTTAATTTTGAAATGTGACATTTTCAATAGAAAGTTAGATGAAGTATGGGGTAACATGGCCGTATGCGGAAATTGGCCCTTTATGTTAATTTAGTGGGAAATCATCAAAACACTCTTGATTTAGGGAAATAATTGAGGTCATTGAACATAAATAAATTAGAAAGTAAAAATAATTCTATTCTGATATTTCCTAGTTTGAGCTTCGTGCTCTTGCAAACAATACAACGATTCGTATCCTATTTTTTACAACTGAGAGAAACTTTTTAAGACACAGCCAATTCCGGAAAGGAATATGGTGAAGATGGTTGTTTCCTTTTTAGATGGTGATGTGCATGAGCGTTTATGGGGGATCAAATGCAAGAGTCTATATGTCACCCTCTGATCCCGAGCTACGTTCAAGATTGACACGCGATGTCACCACGTACTTGATCATCGAACATCTATGTTAGACTGCCTATATACCCTACAACGGGATCAAACCATTCGTAATTCACCCTTCTTTTAAGCTCTAAAAGTCTCAAGGCATTAACTGGCAAGAACATAGAGTTCCAAAATCACACAAGGGAACCAATAATTGAGTATGCCTTGCTAGATTTTCGTCTACATAATGAAATCATATGTGAACAAGATTGTCATTCACCTATATCACAATATTTTCCAACACAATCCACAATCACAACAATTAAGCGATCTAACAAATCAAAGATGCACAATATTAACATTTAACTACGTTAATCAATCAAAAAAAAAAATCACATATTATTTCACCAATTTAATAAAGGAACTCACCATAATTCCCTACCTGAATTCCAAGCAATAACATGATAACTCTAATTTACAAACATAATATTTGTGGAGCCAAAAATAATCATAAGGTGACACGTGGATTTTTGGGTGAAGATGACAAATTTACCCTTGGTGCATACCGGGTCTCCTACACGCGAGCAGTGGAGAATCATCCATCAACCAAATTAGGAGTACCCAAAATAGGTAACAAATTCAAATTTGTCTCATCCATCCTCATTCCATAACCTTCAAAACCTCCCAAAACATTTGTTTTATTATGATAATTAGCCAATTAATATATTTATACCTAATTAATATATTAATTGCTAATTGAATCACCAAATAACACCCCAAAACACACTTAAAGGCCGGCCACACCTCATTCCCTATATATATGACCCTATTTCTTCTAAAAAGCTAAGTTTCATACTCTTGCAAAACTCCCAAAAACTCTCCAAATACTTTTCTCTCTAAATTCTAACTTTGGCATCGGAGGTTCTTCGGCCAAAACCCCCTCCCCTAATTCATCGTGGGCGCGTGAGCCTCTTGGCCTTGACCTAAGGTGTTAATTGTTTTGTAGGTGCAATTTTGTCCAAGAAGAAGAAGGCGGAAATTTGCATCCACAATATCCACTGTGAGCAATTCTTATGCACTCGAATCTAGGTTTTCAGACTAACTTAATGGAAACAAACAAGAACTGGGATTCCAGACCACTCAACGGAATCTAACTAAAATATGGTCATCTATCGAAATTAAGCAAGTACAACTTGTTTATACCATACTTAGGGCCTCCGTATTTAGACCTCGTATAAATACTCGGGGGACTCCAATGTAATTATGTAATAAATGGAGGGGCAAATATGTAATAAATGAGGAGCCCTTATTCTATAAAAGGATCCCTCACCTTCACAATTAGAAGAGGCCAACATACCCCTCTCAAAGCCTCACTCTCATTACAGAGGCTCTCACATTCTCTCCCCCACCTCTCAGATGAATACAATATCAGTGTGGACGTAGCCCAAATCTTGGGGTGAACCACGATACATCTTGTGTTATTTACTTTCTTGCAGATTCACGGTCGGATTTACGTTGTTCCAAGACCTCCGGTTTTGTGCATCAGCACAACTAATCCTCACAACCCTAGGTAGGCAGTGATCACCCATTGCAATTACACTAAGCATGATCACCCCCATCATATGTACGGTCCTCAATCGGGGATATAACAAGCAGAACCGAATTCTAACTCTAGGTAGTAATCACCAATCGCGGATATACCAAGCATGGTTACTCCTATAATGCGTATGGTCCCCCATTGCAGATATACGAAGCAAAACCATAGGCATAGTCTAATAGTGCAAGCAAAAATCACCCATCACAGATATACCAAGTATGATCACCCCTATTATATGTACGGTCCCCCATTGCGGATATACCTAACAGAACCGTATCCTAACTCTAGGTAGTGATCACCCATCGCGGATATACCAAACATGATCACTCCTAGAATGCGTATGATCCTTTATTACGGATACACCAAGCAGAACCATAGGCATAGTCTAATTGTGCAGGCAGCGATCACCCATCACGGATATACCAAGCATGATCACTATCATATTTACGGGCCCCTTCACGAATATGCCAAGCAGAATCGCATCCTAACTTTAGGTAGTGATCACCCATCGTAGATATACCAACACATGATCACTCCTGGAATGCGTATGTGGTCCCCCATTGCAGATTTACCAAGCAAAACCATATGTGTAGTCTAATCGTGCAGCAGTGATCACCCATCTCGGATGTATCAATCATGATCACCCTTGAAAATGTATGATCCCCTATCGCATATATACCAACCAGGATCATCTTTGTACCACTGAGTGCAACCGATCACCACACATCTTATTGTCTACATCAGCACATATGATTTACAATGTGAGCGCACACACTATCAATTTCACATGACAACTAAATATATTGACATACAAACATACAAGTTCTATAGAATACTTCTAATAAGGTTCGAGGCTCATATTTTTCATACTAGTAATCATATATATCATTCGTATCAACTAGAAGCTCAATAAACATGTATATCATAGTAAGGTGCCATTGTGATTCCAACTAAATACCAAGAATAATGGGTTCCTCTAATTGAAGAAATTATTGACTCATCAAGATTCATATCAACCCTAGTTGTTTTCAAGATGAAGGGTGAGATTTTTCTAGTGGAGGAGACTGATGTAGGACCAAATATGGGTCAATTTCAACTATAAAAAAATAAAGAAAATAAAATGTTTCAAATCTTGAAAAAAAGAAAATTTGAAGTTTCAATTGGTAAGAAAAAAAGTTGTCACTTTTCATCACACTCGCAATTTTTTATTTTATTTCTGTAGGTGGAGTCGTGTTTCACTTGCCGTGGTGGTGAATGAAACACCAAAGATCCCCTTCTATTTAGTATATAACTGAGGGGGTGGGTTGAGATGGTTATTTCCTTTCCTTTATTCTCAGTGAATTTTAATGAATCATGCATTGTATTAGAAGAAAAATGTTTATCTATATTGATACTATAAAAATTCTTTTTTGTCAACTAAAGAGTGAAAAACAAATACTAAAGAGGGTATTATTACCACTATAAGACTTGGGATTTACTATCTGCACTTGCTTGTGCTCAAATATCCTATTGGATATGGTATTTGATCTCTACCCATGCATTCTGAGTTTAAAACTCTCAATTTCTAAATTATTGAAATAGTTCCAAACCCTCCTCTTCTTAATACTAAATTTTTTTTACTATTTGCACTTAATTAATTATCTGTTATTACTTAGCAAAATTCAAAGTTTTCATTTTACCCTTTTAAAGAATAAAGTTGTAAAAAAAAAAATTAAAACAGTAGTCTGAGGTCTAACCGGAGTCGGCGGCTCCCAATTACCTCTTTTCCCCGCCTCTTCCATCTCCCTTCTAGTCATATGCATGGATCCACTTTTAAGGCTTGAAGTCTTGAACCAAATTACTAGCCTTTCACTATCACCGCAAATATTCTCGTCATGGGATTAGTGTGAAACCATATTTTTGCTACTCATTGATTAAGGCTTATAGTCTTGAACCAAATTATACGCCTTTGACTATTACCACAAAGTGTTGGAGGTGTTTGTTATAGTTTCATTCCTGAACAATTGAGACGCAAGTTGGAGGAAGCTTCAACCAAAGGTATTTTTGTTGTATCTGTTAAAACCAATGTTTACAATATCAGTAACCATGAAAATATCAATAAGAAAATTTGTGGAAATATCGACGGACATATTGAATATCGGTTGCTTTCTATGGAAGTAATGAAAATTTAAAATGAAACATTGGGAATTCTTAAACATTGATTTGGACAAAATATGAGATTTTTTTTCGATATTTAACAGGTGTATACAAAATATCGACGATATATGTCGATTTTATCCTAAACTTAAGAGTTTCCTTGATATAAAGTGAAGTTTAGACTTCACCCCCATCTCCATAACTTTATATGATTTTTTGGATATTTTCATAAAAATATGGAATGTATCAAAGAAAACAAGTTAAACCACGATGATCCAATGACCTTTTTTTTCTTGATGATTATAGAAAAATAAAAATATTAAACCCTAGCCTATAAAATCATGTACTTTTCCATCTCTATCTCTCATATCATGATCAAATCCTTCCCTTTTGGAGACAACTTTGCTAGGGGATGACTAGTAATGGTGGAAAGAAAATGAACAGATTGGTGAGAACAAAAAGTCACTTTGCATGATAGGCAACTATCTCCTGCGGTTCGGAGAGGACTCAGCTTAACATAATACATCTTCGTAATGAAAATTGAGTGGCAACATGAAAGAGCCTATTGGAGAACAATAACAAGAGTAATTAATGACTAATTCACTCTCAAATCGTGCTTCTGATAATGATATATAGAATGTTTCACTTGCCGTAAATACTATCTCCACAGCCGCCTTCTTTGGCTTCTTCCTTTACTTCTTTCTGCTGAAAAGTAGCTCTCCTCATCATATTTGCATTTCCTTTTATTTCTGTAGGTTACGTGCCTTGGTGATCGAAACACCCATAAGCCCCTTCTGATTAGTATATAATTAAGGGGGTCGGATGAATAATGGTATGGTATTTGTAACTAGCTTAGAACACCGGTGAAATTTTTACTTGTATATGTTAAGATTTTGACTTTAGATATGAGTACAGAAATTTTCAATCTTACAGTGAGATGGGTTTTTTTCCTTTTGTTCAAGGGTGAACATAATAATTATTACATGCAAACGATGAATTGACTCCAAGTCTTCAAGAATTCTTTTTTTCTTTTTTTGTCGAACGAGTCTTCATGTCTTCAAGTGATGGCGATGGGCTGATCTTATCAAACG